CTTCTAGAAGGATAACTAGGTATTAATATATAATAAAAATAAGAAGAAATTTAAAAATAAGTAGTTTAGATTATATTATATTCTAGTAATCTATATCCTTAGAATATATATTTTAGTAGAGTTATCTAGCTATATACTCTAAAATCTTATAAATAGATTAAGACTCCTAGAAATCAGAGTAAATAACCTAAAGTTACTATAGATATTATAAGTTGTTTAAACTATAATATAATAAATTAGTTTAAATCTAAAAAGACCTAAAGAGATCTAGAAGATCCTAGAGAATAATACTCTACTACTAACTTACTTTAATCTATTAACTTTTATTTATAAAGAGTAGGAAGAGTTTTACTATAATAATATATAATAAAGTTTAATAAGGAAGGATATAATTATAGAATATATTATTAAGAAAGTATATAGATATATAATAAAATACTAATATATATAAGAAGATCTAAAATAGAAGAATCCTAAAGAGTTATAGAAAGAATTAAGTTTAGACTTAAATAATAATAATAGAGCTAGATATATCTCTAAAAATAAAGATATAGATATAAAAGAAGATATTCTTCTAAGAAGAAGTATTCTATATACTATAATAATATATAAAAGGATACTAATAAAAGATAGTTCCTTTACTATTATAATCCTAAAGACTAAGTTATAAAGTCTATAAAAAAGAAAGGGAATAAAGTAGAGATTTATATTAGATATATAAGGCTTATTAAGTACTAGCTAAGAATATAAAAGAAAGTATAATTAAATTAAATATAGAAAAATACTAAGAATCATCCCTAGAAAAAGGTTATAAATATTATAAAGTAGTATAAAATAGTATAGATTATACTAAGATATTCTTATAGGATTAGCTATAGTAAATAGATTATTTACTAATAGTCTTTTTTAAAGGAGTTATTAGAGATCTAGATAATATATTAAATAAAAGTTTATTATTAAAGGTATTATAGATAGAAAGTTTAGGCTTATTATAAATAATATTTCTAAACTCTTTAAGTTCTTTCTTAAGAATAGACTTCTTCTTATAATAATTATTTCTCTTTATAGATAGGATAACTACTTAAGATATAGTCTTAATTATATTAAGTATAAAAGGATTCCCCTCTAAATTAGCCTTACTCTTATTAGGATTAAGAATATAATATTCTATTAGAACTACTATTATCTATATATAATCGTAGACTAGTTAAGACTCTATAAAAGAAAGCTAATTATATACTACTAGTATTAGCTTAAACTTACTAGTTTTAGTATAATAATAGATATTATAGTTATCTAGTAGAGAAAAGTACTAGTCTATTAGATAGATTAGTCTATTAGAATACTTAATATTAATAGTATAAATAGATCCTTTTAGATTAGAAGAGGAAGAAAAAGCTATAAGAAAAGAAGATTAGATCTTCTAAGTCCTTCTTATAGAAGATAGGACTAACTTAGTATAAATAGGAGTTTTTATAGTAGAAGAAGTAAGAATAGTTATATATAGCTTCTTAGAGATAGGAGATATAGTCTCTTTAGAAGAAGATATAGAAGTAGTAGAATAATATTTCTATAGTATAATAATAGGAGGAGATACTTCCTTAATCTCTATATTATTATCTTCTATAGTAGGATCCTTAACTAGATATTATAAGATATAATAATAGGAGATCAGATAAGTAACTTATATAAAATAAATAAGGTTCTTAGAAGAATATTATTAGAAAGAGTATCTATTAGTAGTATTTTTATATATATATAAAGTATAGGAACTACTAAATATAACCTTTCTATTATCTAGAATTATAACTATATATAAAAGGAAAGGCCTATAACCTACTAAATAGTATATATAGGATATTAAGATAGCTATCCTAATTTATTAAGTAATATATATATACCTTTACCCTTTTAAATTTATCTTTATATTACTTATATCTTACTAGTCTATATTATACGCAACTAGCGTAGCAACAAGGGTAAGATTAGATACAGATTAGAAATTAAAAAGGAATATATTTCTAAATATATTAATACCTTTGCTATAAATAATAGCTTTCGTAAACTAAGGTCTAATACTAAAGTTCTTTAGTATAATAGTATCTATATTAAAGGGAGGAACATCCAATATTTCTATAAGAAACAATACATTAGCTTATATTTGATTTAGTCAATATTATAAGAATCTAGAATTATACTTACTAGACGAGAAGAAATACAATAAGGTATTTAGGAAGTACAGAAGAAAAAGTATATAAAGGAAGAGAGAGTGTGATATTGTGAAAGATGTAAACTGGTGACCAGGGTAATTTGTAACAGCACTCACGACACAATCAGAGTAGTGGTCCCAGTTAGGGCATGTCATACAATTCTGGCATAAGCCAATCACGTACTTCATTGAAATCGGTAAATTCCCGTTTCCAGGCCGGAAAAAGGGGTTTACCTTGTTCACAGCTATCACGCATGGCCTCATGGGCATGCGTCTCAACTAGTCTGACAATATATTTTGTTAAATATTTCTTAAATAACGGTCATAGGCCTCAGACTCCAGAATATGATTTTCTCTGCAGATATCTAACAACACGCATGTTGCTCGTAGTTTATGCGAGCGCAACCGCCGAAGCAGGTATCCTCGCCCAGTCAGCCCTCCATGCGCCTCGATGGGAAGTACCCAGGAACATTATACCTCACACGCTACAAAATTTATGCCAAAGATGAGGCTCTGGATTATGTCGCGAAAGAAAAATAGCTTTCTTGCAGACGATGATACCAAGGCTACAAACAGCAAAATGAATGGGCGTGAGGATTTGTTTTCGGAAGCTCGAGATCGTTCAAAAGGTTTGTAGCGCTATCGATCAATCGATTCGACGAAGCAATTGATTTGCATGTCATGTATGCAATTTAGTCGTACCTGATGAGCCGAGTCTGCCGGAGAAATTGCGGGAGGGGCATCTTCGGCCAAGGAGTGGAGTGTCCAGGGGCGGTCCAGGTATTGTCGCAGTCCCCTGTCAGTCTGTGAATGAAGCAGATGTCCAACGCGGCATTACTAAGACCTGAAAGAATTCTGACTCCATTGGGAAAAGAAGGGGTTGGTACGCATTCATAAGTATGAGAATCTGTCTGTCAGCGTGACGGCGTTTGCTCGCAGCTTGCTCCACAGGGAGCAGTAGTGGTGGTCTTGGGTTGCTACCATTATCGAAAGATCCTCTCCATCATCCAGTATAATAGAATTAGGAACGGCTGAGACAAAAGCATACGTAGAGTGTAGGAAAGCACACCAGTCGTCCCCGAATTGGGATACAAGTGCATGAAAAGTGCGGGTTGCAGAGGCTAGGCCAGGAGCGGCGGTGTGCGATCAGCTGAGAATATGCTCACCCGTTTAGCATCATACTGTATGTACGTACCATTCACCTCAGACACTTCTTTAAGTGCCAAGCTAGCCATTTCTAGACCAAGTTATCATGCGATAAGAATTTGAAAGAGAGTCTCTATTTTTGGTACATGATAAAAAAGACGGCAAGCAAGCAAGATCATATGTAAGTGCCCAAAACGCAACTATTTCCTTTCACGGTTGGGAACTTCTGGGAAGAGTGTCCCGATAGAGGGTAATTTAACATATTTGTCTCTTTTTTCTACTCCACTCTGCCCCAAAAGTGACAAGTCTCCCCCTCTCTGGCAATGATCGAGGTCTAGGATATGAGGCTTCTCGGCGAATCTCGTTTTACAAGAAGTTAATGTAGCGCGACGTGATATCTCCTGCTCCCCTAAATTGCAATGCATTGCCTCGGCTACTCTCCATGGAATACCAGATCTATCTCCAATCATCGACCATACATGCTCTCTCAGTCTAATTCGAGTAAATATAGTGCAAGAAGAAGGGACTCAGCTACTGACCTTGCGTACTCCCGGGAAAGAGAATTTTTTCTCTCATCAGTCCACTGGGAAGAGCGAATCAAGTGACACTTATACCGCAGGCGACAAGCGGTCTGTGATCTTCCGGGTAGCATTTGGCTAATGTCGGTCCATTGCCAGCCTTCACTGCGAAGCGAGACTAGCTTCCTGTCCTCTTCAGGCGACCATATCTTGGACGGAAGATGAAAATGCGGTTGAGATTCGAAGACATTAGGTGATCGCGGCTGGGCATTATTTGACATGATATCTTATATAGTCCGATCTGTTTGAGCAGAATTGTGGGGTTTGCCGAGGAGTAAATTGCAATGCAATTAAATCAACGAAGAGTAGCTTTGCGATGAGATATACTTTATAGGTTCTGCGATCAAGCTTGAATGAGTAGGGCAGTCGATTGAAGACCTTTGTATTTACGTTTAATTAGTTTCAGCATACCGCAGAAGTTGCTTCAAACTACTGACCGATCGATTGCCTGCTGGAAGCAAACACTATGTTGTTTTACCCACCAGGCCAGCCAACCGTAGAATAGAATCTAACATCTTATAGGTGATGAAGGGCAAATACATGGGGCCAGTAGCTATACCACGAATAAGCAGGTCACAATGTCAATATCTTGGAATTGCTTGGCAATTATATGGGAAGTATCATAGCTCATTTCATTTGCTTTCAATTCCTGATTCCTGAATCACAATGCCTGGATAGTTGGCAACCGACCAACCATATCCCTAGGAGCTGCAGCGCGGCTTTCGGCTAATAGTGAAGCAACGGCCATATGTAGAATCAAAGACTGGTACATGATATACTATGTAGTTAGATATTTCAAAGAGCAATTAGCTGTTGTAAAGCTCTGTAAACTCTTCTCTCAAATCTACATTCATCCGCATCCAACTAGAATTGAGAATGGCCGTGGAGGTTGTACATTTGAAAGTCTTATTCGGATACACTCCAACACGCCCAGTGCAACAGTCAACATATTCTGCACAGTTATCGAGCTAGTATTATAGATATTTGTGCCGAAAAGGGCTTGATGATTGTATGAGACATGATCCGAAAGAAATAACCTCCCTTGTCAGTGTTAACCAGTGTGTGACTCAGTTCGAGATGGGAGGAAGCTCGTTCCCAACGCGAGTATCTTGAAGGAGCTCATGAATAGAAGGAATCGTCCAGTCTTGGAGTGTCGGATGAGAAGGCGGTGAAATCGCATGCATGGACAATGGATTTTGATGAGAGGAGGCAGTATGGTCGGCTGCAATATCCTGGTCACGAGACTTGACGCTTGTGTCCCGTTCAAACGGTCTTGATGGTCTGGGCATGACCGGAGCTATGGGTAATCGTACATTTCTAGGCGTCTGGTAACCTTCACATCTATAACCACCTCGCACACAAGCACTGCCTGATTGAAAGTCAGTGATGTTGCAGTGGCCTTGCGAAAACATATGATCATACATGACGGCTTGTGCTCATCACATTTCTTTTTGCGACGGCGACAGGTGCTACAGCCAGTCTTGGTTCTGCGGTGTGGCGCACGCTTTTTCCTTGGCTTAGGCAGAAGAACGGGCTGAGGAATCAGCTGTAAATCTTCCGTAGGGGGCTGATTCACTATCGCAGAGCTCATATCACAATATAGCTGGTTTAACGAGACGTTAGCTTCAATATTGGGATCATTCATCTGTCTGTTTTTGCCATCATCTCCAGTTGTTGTTTGTTTGATATTGGAAGGTCTAGTCTTGCCTCCAACACTGTTCATATCCCGAAAAATCGGCTGTTCCGAGCTAGGCTGCCAGTTCTGCAGGCCATAAGAAGTCCCATGAGTAGTCGGTGAATTATATCGCATGCTAGTGAATTGAAGTTCAGTTGTAGTTTCCTCGATTCTCGATCGGTGTTTCTCTCCTAAGGGACACATTCAGATTTGGTTCCATGTCCGACCCGGAACTCAAGCCAGATTGATCGACCCGCCCTGCTGTTTCAATTTGTAGGTGAGAACAATTTCAGCGCTATTAATTTCCTCCCTATGAAGCCAGGGTATTCTCACCTGGGATGGATTGTTCTGGCTCATCAATTGGTTGAAAAAATGACCGCTCATCGATCGGCTGGGAGGCTGACCACCGAGGGTTGCAAGGGGTGTGGGGGTGGGGTGTGTATTTTGACCGACTGATTTTTCGATAATGCCAATTGGGCCAGCCGAATTCTGTTCGTAGCGATTATGCTGGATCACGTCAGAAATGAAGCAGTCTGGCTCAAAACTCTCCGATTCAAGATCACTTTCTATCTCTCGTGGCGATCTATTTGTTCTGGGCGTTTGTCGCGGTGACATGCACGGTACAGATTCGATCGTCTGAGTCCCATATGATCGCTGACTAGGCAAATAGAATGATCGAGAAATAAGGAGAGCTGGGCTGGGCGACTGGATTCCCCATCGATGGAAGGTGCTTGACTCAACATGGGAGGTTGGGCAGCAGCTTGCTGCTCATGTAAAGGCTTCTTTTTCTGGTTACAAAGAGACCCGAAGCCTAATTTGTGAGGTCTGGTTTGTAGAGAAAAATAGCTCCGACGTTTGCCCGAGAAAACGAGGTATCGCTTCTCAATTTCTTTCCTGGACATGTTCCGATGTTGCTCAAACCAGCCAGGCAAATCGCAGTCCTCCTTGAGTGTCCAATTGTGATTCGTACCTAAAGAGCTAGTTAGTTAGTTGCTTGAAAGACCCATTGAAAGGCAGGCTCAGCATACGTTTCTTATATTTCCTGGCTTTCGAATATCCCTCTGTGTTTTCAACTGCAGTCGTTGCCCAAGAGCTAGCTTGAGTATTCTCGTCTGAAGCGTATCTCCGAGAGCCAGGTGTTACGTGTTTTTGTTGTAATTTGTCGATTCTCTCCGACAGTCCTTCCAATACGCTTTGGATGGCCTCACTCACTTTTATATGAAGTATCAGCAGAATGGTAGACTAAGTTATGAAAGTAATTGTGAGATTACGCACATTGTAAAGCAAGATCCCCCCACAAGGTTATCTGGGATTGAGCTAACCTGACAATGTCGATTTCCGATGCCACATCGTAAGGATATGAATGAGGATCCACCAGCTGCCGCGGAAGACCGGTTGCAATGAAATCATGATCCTCTCTTGACACGAGTACCTTTCCCTTGTCCACCCGGATTTGATAGTTGCCATCGGTTTGCTGCTTTGATTCGTATGTCAAGGAAAGGACAACATCAGCCCAGCGAAAGAAAGATTCCGAGTGGTCAGTTTCAATAACATACAGCTTATCCCTAAATAAGTGATCGAGTCCTTCCAACTTAAGAGTACTAGTCAGAGGAACACCAAAAAGCCGTGCAAGGTTCACGTCCGCCTACAAAACAGCCTAGTAAGACCGTAAAAGTTCAAGAGTAGAGACCAGGCCTTTCTCAGATAGAGTAAAAGAACACAGATATGATTGATCACAAGGGCTTTGATTGCTTGAGTTGAAGATTATACCGTTGTCGATATACAGAGACTCTTAACTTATCTACTCAGAAGACATACTACCCAAGCTCTATCAGAAAAGTATACGGAAGTTTTCCAAATATAGACCAATTTCTTAGTGATATCTAATCAGTAAACACGATTCTTTAGCAAAGCGCTAGGATTATAAAATATCTAAGATAAAGAAAATTTGCTAATAAAGTTTTCCCTCACTTGGAGTAGCTATTATAAACAATTAAATGTCGAACTCCGCAGGAGAAGATTACTACCTTTCCTATTACAGATTGATGATTCAGCGCGGGCTTAGATCCTATATTACTGTTTTTGTATGTAAAGCGCACGTAAGTGTATGTATGGGCTATATAAATAGCCTATACGAATCAGGCAAGATCGCTCAACTCGATCGAGCACCTAGATAGAATAACCCTCCCAAAAATGCTATCCAGCTGTACTAGTTCATACGCGTTCGCCCCTCTCCGATATATTTGCCCATTGGAACACATCTCGAATCCCAGGGAGTTGAGTTTGACACCTCGCCGCCCTACTGCAAAGGGCAGAATGGACTGGCCGAGCGTACCAATCGCACTATCCGGGAGCGGATCAACACGCTCCTGTCCGATGCGAACCTTCCTCCTTCCTGGTGGATCGAGCTGGTAGACACAGTCGTCTATCTGAAGCTGCGCGCTCCAGCTTCAATCCTTCGGAAGAAGACCCCGTACGGAATTATATATGGGAAGCCGCCATCGCTGTTACATCTACGACGGATCGGCTCCCGTGCATGGGTCTTAATTCCAAAAGAGCACCGAGCTAAACTCGGACCGAGATCATCCGAGTGCCGACTACTTGGTTATTGTGAACCAAACCAGTACAAGCTGTATGAAATCCATTCTAGAAAGACTGTCTTTTCCCGTGATGTCGAGTTCGATGAGAGGACCCCAGTGGCGCCACTCATCGATGAGGAAACAGGCAATGACCTCCCGGACAACGCTCCTCCATCAGCTGTCTTTCCGTCACTGCCGATAAGTTCAGCCAGCGGGCTGCCCACACCACCTGCTTCACCATTGCCTCCGTCGGCTGAGCGAGAGAAAGCGCCATCTGAGCGTGAAGAGGAGACACCTCCGGCAGTTAATCCAAGCCAACAGGGAACTGACCTGACACAGGATCTTGGATATTCGTTTTATGGCCGCAGAAGATGGCCTTCGCGAAGGTTGCTGGAATCACTCGGCAAGGTGTATTCGGCAGGCGCACTGAAAACTGCATCTGTGAGCAAAGTCGACCCGTCGACTTTCCACGAGGCCGTGTCGGGCTCAAATCAACAGGAATGGTGGGCAGCCATCCAGAAAGAATATTCGCCTCTTCTGGAACACGGAACATGGGAAAAGGTTCTGCGAACACACGTACCAGCTGGAGATCATGTGATAGGCTGTAAATGGGTCTTCAAAACCAAAGCCAACGGAACCCGCAAGGCTCGATTGGTCATCAAGGGCTACCGACAGAAACACGGTATCGATTATCATGAAACATTTGCAGCTGTGTCACGAATGGACTCGGTGCGCTGCATTGTCGCCAGCGCAGTGTTGCGCGGATGGAAACTCCACCAATTCGACACTGTCACTGCATTCCTGCATGGTGACGTTGACTCCTCCATTTACATGGATTTGCGAAGGCTTCGAAGAGCCAGGATATGTTTGTCGGCTTCGCCGCTCCCTGTATGGCCTCAAGCAGGCCCCGCGGATTTGGTATCAATGCGCCCACCGCCTCCTGGCCGCCCACGGCTTCACCATGGCCCAATCGGACAACTGTGTATTCTACAAATCCAATTGCGTGGTCTGTGTTTACGTCGATGACTTTCTCATTACTGCAGCAAACTCGCATGAGATAGAGCAAGTGCAACGAGCATTGCAAGCAGAATTCCAATTGAATGACCTGGGGACGCCACGCTCGTTCCTCGGGATCCAGTTCGACTATTACGTCAATGGGTCCGTATCCATTCACCAACACCAGTACATCCAGAAGGTACTCTCAGACTTTGGCATGGAAACTTGTCAGCCGAAGTCTACGCCGATGAATCCCAGGCAAATCCTGAATCATCGTCCAGACGAGGCACTTCTGGACGAGGAAGCAAAGGCTCGTTATGCGACTGCCATCGGTTCGTTAATGTATCTGATGGTTGGCACGCGACCGGATATTGCGTTTGCACTAGGCACGTTAAGTCGCTTCACGTCTCAGCCGCAAGCACACCACCAAGTTGCTCTGCAGCGACTGCTTCGCTACATTCAAGCCACACAGTCTCATCGTCTCACCTACCGCAGTGGACAGCTAATCGGGTATACAGACGCCGACTTCGGGGGCTCTGTCGTTACTGACGGTGCATACTCGACGTCTGGCTATGTATTCCAGCTTGCAGGGGCGCCAGTTTCCTGGTCGTCCAAGAGACAGGGGGAAGTGGCCACGTCTACGACACATGCCGAATACATCGGACAGTACAACTCTATTCTGCACCTGCAGTGGCTCCGCACCTTTCTAGCTGAAACGCAACTGTATCGGTCTCCGGTCACTAACATCATGGCTGACAACCAGTCCGCCATTGCGCTTTCTCGCAATCCCGAGTTCCACAAACGGACGAAGCACTTCAATGTGAAATTTCACTATCAGCGAGCCGTGCTGGATGCAGGCGAGATTGAGCTTCAATATATTCCAACTAAGGAACAGGCCGCAGATGGTCTCACCAAGCCATTGGGGCCTACGTCCTTTGCTAAATTTTGTAGTCTCTTAGGAATTGACGCCTCAGAAACTCAAAGGCTTCATGCCTGACAGCATAGGCGCTCTTTCCACTTATTTTCCCACGAAGTTGATGGGATCCCTATCAAAGTTCGCATCATTTCAATCCAGCACCTTCCACATATTCGGCGGAAATTCGAAGTTCGTCACCCGCCATTATAGGGATCTACACCTCCGTGGGGAGCCCCGTGATACGAGTATTGAAATTAATGTTTTTCGGTGCAAGAATCGGCCAAATAGGTTATCAAAGAGTTTTTGTTTTTAGATACAGAACCCATTAGGCTGGATTGGTTCCTAGGTACAGAACCCAAAACTCGCTATGGGTTGGGGTTTGATTCTACACCCCATTCGCGAGCTATGGCGCAATCTACTCTGGATGGGCATCCAAGCCCAGAGTAAACGACGAGACATAGAAAACCCCTCTAACGACTAGAGTTGATTAGAAATTGAGAAGAAACGTGCAATAGATGCTCCTTGGTAACTCACGATCATGAGATCCTGTGTGACTCGATTTCAGCCTTGGCATTTGCCGTGAGGGTGGCAGGGCTCAGCTGGGGGTGTGCTGCGGCCCAAGCCATATAACTGGCTTGATTTGCAATGATTCCTTCAGGCGGAGTGTACGGATAGTCACTTCCTAGCAAAATATGGTCGGGAGATGTTTGGACCAAAAGGGCGTCTAATTGCGTTGCTGTTCCACTGAGCGCAATATCGTAATAAAAGCGCGCAAACTCAGCAGTGGCTTTGAGAGCACTGATATTGGAAAATCCATTTTGAAGTGCTAAGCTCCCCAACACACGCTCGGCAATAAAGGGGAATGTTCCACCAGCATGGCTAAGTATCATATCGACGTTCGGCGTTTGTGATCTCGTGCCGCCTAGAACCAAGTCGACAGCGGCTCTGGTCGTTTGCTGCGGGTAATCGACAATAGGTTGAGGGATTTTGCCGTTGATTAGAAATGGGCTGACATTCATAGTCCCGGGGTGCATGAATGTCAACGCTTTGTACTGTTCCAGCCTTTCCCATATTGGTGAGAAAGAAGCATCTCCGGGTAAATAATCACCATAAGAAGTGTAGAAAATAACACCGACCGCACTTTTCTGTTCAGTATATATCCAATCAATCTCAGCCAGTGTACCGGCAATATCCCTCCAGTCCGGGAGTGCGGCGAAAAAGTCCAGTCTGGTGCTGTTCATTGCCAAGTCTGCCAGGTAATTGTTGATTTGGCGGCAAAGATCACGGGCCTCCTGTCCGGTCCCTGCGATTGGAACCCCTGGCGTCGAGATTGACAGAATGCCATGAGCCGAGCCAATACTGTCCAAGCTTTCCAGGGTTCCTTCTAACGACCAATCTGGAGTTGCTTCTCCGGACGGATCACCTCCATGTTCAGCAATAGCCTGGGCAAGAACTGGGGGGATGGCATGTATGTGGGTGTCTGTCAATGTCCAGTTGATTGGCGGTCGAACGCCGGGCGGGTGTTGGGCTTTATGCTCGTGGGAGATCGTCAACTGGGCATAATGCAACAAGCAAAAAGCATTGGAAAAAATGTTCTTGGTTAACATTGCGATTACAGGAAACGAAATATAAGGCGGCCCCGGAGAACGCTTTCAATACTGCATAAAGGGATTTGACAAGTTTATAGGCAATGAGTGAAAGTGGAGAAAGTGCCGGTTGTGAAGCTATTTGCTCCTGAAATTTTATTTACTGACTTGAAACCGGGGGATAGACCCCACTGGAATGGACTATGCGAATAGACCACCGGCAGAACACGAAACTTATGGCACCAGTCAAGAAACGGAAAAGATTGCCTACAGTGTCCACAACGCATCAGACTATCCCCCTCCCCACGGAGCATCTCCCTACTCAACGTTGTTGAAGCAACTTATGCCCGATTCGCGCTCCTTTTCTGTTTTGAGGCCAAGATTTCCGCCACCGTAGCACGGACGACATAAACCCCCGTCACCTACTTCACATTTCATGAAAGGCGTGGAGGGTGACAGGTGCTATCAAGACAAAACCATATGATTATTTTGGGGGGCCTCTTCCAACTTTGAATATCGCGAACAAATACTCGAGTCTAGCGAGCTCTTAAAACCACGTCAAGAATGGAAAATGATGGGATGTATTTCCAGATCTATATACAAGTATACAGTATAGATTCAACCTTTACAGGGTGGCTAGTTCATTGTGGCGTAAGTTCGAAATAGAAAAAAGTTCAATTTATTTGCTTTTTAAGAAAAGCTACTCCGGTGCATTGTATTTTGTCCACGTGGAAGCCTATGGACCCCATCTGGCCGTCGCTTAAACAGCGGGTTGACTAATGAGGCGGACTCCGCTTGCGGAATGTTGGTGGCACGATGTCCCTCCGGCCCGTCAGCAATGTCAAGTCACCAAATCGTGAGGGGCCAAAAGTTAATTTTGCGCTTTAACATATTAAATGAATAACCTGCACCCAATCCCTTTACACCCCAATCCTGGTTGTTCAGATCAGACCGTAAGCCCGCAATCACCCACATTCGACTTGTGGAATCGGATGGTCGTCGCAAAGCCAAATTCATTGTGCGTCATTAGCCGTTTTGGTGCATTGTTGCCGAAGCTCCTCCGCGGAAGAAAATTTAAGTTATGCCGAAAGTATAACTAATTAACCGTAAAAAGGATCAATCAGGCTTACCTGTGAAACGGCGTTGTGGATCTTCAAGCAAACCCGCGGAATAACTTCAATATCATATTAGACCTCGACTTGGGTCGGGTTTGATTCCAACTACAAGACCCGTACTCACAGAAAAATTTAACCATTTCTAATTCTGTGACGGGCTAGGTCCTGATCCATTGCCCAGGGTTGGCCTGTGTGGTGTGATCTATCAGTTCCCCCAGGATATTTACTCGCCGCTGGTCACCCCCCTATTTTTGCACTTCTCCAAGCTTTAGATAAACTGCTTTGGTACCGCTCAATTGAATCCATTCGGCCGTAGCCGTCAACAACTCCTCCTCTGTTTTAGGGGCCGTAATCTAACAGATGGTGTCGACAAAAGAGGGTCGCAGTTTTACTAGTGCGCCCGAGGAATATTCAGCACCCCCATATACCTGTTTTCAACCATGCTTGCATGGCTCTAAACGATCTTGCTAAGCCCACATCGCATATATTCTGTACTTTCCATAGTATTCAAAATCAACACTCTCAAGTGACGAACTGAGGGAGTGGTCAAATACCACTAGGACCTTTCGGGATTGGCTTATTCATCATTCACCCAATTCCCCCTAGTAGCGACTGGAAGACGCGCGCGTCGCACGCATCGGCCCTGAAATGAAAGGAAAAAGGGAAGAGTAATTAGAATTGAATAGCAGCGTGCCAGTATTTTGAATGAAGCAGCAATTCGATCGAATCCAAATGGGCCAACCAAAGAAAAGCTATCTAGATGACTAATAACCGCAACACGAGATGACGTAAAGCAAGTTTTCGAATCCTTGGCCCATTCTTATTTAGCTAGTGCAAGTATCGGCATATGAAGTCTTTCTTGGCCTTTGTGAACGCCTCTCCGGAGTTGGTGTACTTGCCTGTGGTGAAATCTCGGTTTCGTCCAGCGTGTCAGCCCACATAATCTGAGTGCTTTCCGCACCCTCGTCAACAGGAGTATTCGCTCTGATGGGCTTTGTAAGCTGCGGGCCATGAGACTGCGATGTGGATTTGGTTGGTGTATTGATGTCTAGGTTGAAGAACTTATCTGTTACTTTCGGGGAGGGGGTACATAGGAGATGCGGGCGGACGCGGAATACGCTCACTAGTAAAACTACGACCTTCTTTTTTCGACACGATCTCACAATACCATCACTTCATTAGCAACGCTCGACTGTGAATCTCGTTGCGAATATATGTTGGAAGGTACAACCCGCTTATGTAGATTTTGACCAGTTTGATGTGCCGTAGTTGATCTTTTTGAGATATATCTTTTGGCAACCTTAAACGCACGACCTATCACCTCACCTCGGTGTCATTGATCACGTCAAGGCTGATTGTTTCTCGGAGAACCTCAAGGCCATGAAGCATGGCCCTGGCGCAATAAGATGCAGCATTCGGATTCACAGGTAGATTCCTCAGATTGCCCCGAAGGCAAAGAACCCAGGCCATTGTGTAGAGCGTTATAGTCCCGACGTGGAAGACCGCGCGTCCTCCGCATGGACGGATTACAGTACGTCTCGCAACCGGTGCAACAAGAACACTCTTCAACACTCTTTTCGGTCCCACTGCCAAGGCGTTAGCGCAGATCATTTATTGAGGTTGCCGCCACACCCAGTTTAGATCTGCCGCAAAAGCCCAGCAGCAGCACAGTAACTATCAATTCTACCCGTTATCCAAATTCTTAGAACCACTTCAACTAGAGGGGATACGATGCTATACAGTATTCGTTATAGAGGTTCTCAATTTAATGCGGGCACCTTAATAAATGAACTGCGCTTAAGGTCTTGGCAGTGGGGCCAAAAAGAGTGTCTAAGAGTGTTTTTGTTGCACCGGTTTCGAGACGCACTGTACGTGTAGATGCCATGCTACTATTTCCTGGTATCTGTATATCAAACTGGTATCGACGGTGATGCATAACATACCTTGAGCTATCTAGGCTGGGGCGTTGGAAACTGATAGGGAACTTAAGGATAGGATGATTGTTGAGAAGCCCATTCATGTTCGCGCTTTATATGCCCTTTTCGACGTGGAAAGTTGATAGGTCTCTTTTCGGTTTTCTGCAACGCGATATTGATGATTTTGAACGTAAACAAAATCCAGCCAGAGTCATCGGAAGCTCTGGGTCGTGAGGCAAACGCGTTTTCACGTGCCATTTCTCAGGACTACTTTCTGGACGGAGTTTGAAATGGATTAAACTAGAATCAGGAGACTGAGCAGATCTATCCAATTAATTGCCCAAGTTTATTTGCTATTGGGCTGTTAGGTCAAATTCGAGGGATAGCTTGGCATGCTTATCAGTCCGTAATCAATTACCACGTTTCAATCCAGCTTAGCCCTTTGGTTATTTCGATATTTCATTTTCTTACGCACACCGATGGCGCAATTGGCATTGTCGACTCGACAGCCCAAACTTGGGCTGGCTCTCTCGCACTTTATACGGCAGTATATGGGCTAACTCCAATCCTCTCTAGTCTTTTCACCTTCGAGATCTTCAAGCGACAGCATCCGCAGGCCTTGGAAATGCGGTGACAGGCAATATCCGTGGGCTTCCGATATGGGTCAAGGTTTGGCTGTTGTGCTCCCATGTTTCGTGAGAATGTCGAATGCTTAAGAGAGACATTCCGAGAAATTTCTGGAAAGAATACTGCAAGTTTTTGGTGTATTTCAGCGGAAATTTCATGTACGTGAGCATGTTGCGCAACCGTTGACGATGCCAAGCATTGCTCCTGCCTGGTTTGGAAGAAGACTCGTCGCGTATATTCCATCCGGCACTTTTGCTGTCTGAAGTCTTAATCCGCAATTTGTCAGCCAGGTTCGTCAGCCGGGCAATGTTACCACCGAGCGCATGGTATCGATGTACTCTGGGGCCTGGAAGTGCTGGACGTGTTTAAATGGCTGGTTGTAACCTGTGAAGCGAAGGCAGAGTCCCTCCTGCACGAAGCACACTCACTACAGAGATCTTCTTGTTCACCTCCCTCTTAACGCCGTCTAAGAACATGCCTGAACTCAATCCCACGATCCCCACGGGGTCTTTGGTGCTCGTCACCGGCGTCACCGGCTACGTCGCGTCGCAGGTGGCCAAGCAATTCCTAGAGCGCGGCTACAAGGTGCGAGGCACGGTCCGCGATCCAAAGAGAGCATCCTGGCTGGTGGACGACGTTTTTAAATCATATGCAGCCAGCGGTGATTTCGAGTTTGCTACTGTGCCCGACCTGGCGACCCCCAGCGCATTTGACCAGGCCGTGAAAGGTGTCGCGGCTATCTGCCATGTCGCCTCTATCGTCAACTTTGATCCGGAGCCTAACAATGTCATCCCACAGACCGTGGCGGGGGCCGTGTCGATCATGGAGGCGGCTCTGACGGAGCCCTCGGTGAAGGAGTTTGTCTACACGAGCTCGATCGTGGCAGCGACGATCCCTGCACCCGGCAATGTCACCCGAGTCGACCGCAGCACGTGGAATGACCAGGCAGTCCAGCTTGCCTGGTCCGCAGCGGCAGATGATCCCAAACATGGCTCAGTTGTTTACCAAGCGAGCAAGGTTGAAGCCGAGAAGGCGATCTGGAGGTTCGTAGAGGAGAAAAAGCCGCACTTCTCCGTTAACTCGGTTTGCCCGTCCTCGATCATGGGCGAGCCGCTTGACAGAAGCCATATTGGGTCACCTGCGGCGTGGATCAAGCAGCTGTACGATCGGAATGTGGCGTTCTTGTCCCGTGCCCCAGCCCGTAAGTAATGCCCGTTCGACTCTGGTGTCTGAAGCCCCCGCTGACTAAACGTGTCACAACGCCAGTGTTTGCCGTCGACGTGAAAGACGTTGCCCGGCTCCACCTGGCCGCTGTTCTTGACCGGGGCGTGAGGAACGAACGTCTCCAGGCCTGGTCGCATCCCTGCAATTGGAACGACATCCTCGCAATCCTGCGACAGCTCTACCCTCAGCATGAATTCGTGGAAGATCTCCGGGGAATGACACAGTTGGAGATCACAACCGACCAGACCCTGTCCGAGGCCCTCCTGAGACGGTGGGGAAGCCAGGATGGATGGACGCCTCTGAAGCAGACGGTGCAGGAGAACATGGATCCTATCCTCGGGTGGGAAAGCACGGTGTAAGCTGTCTTTGTCCCAACGAGAGCTGCGCCGCTGGCAGCATAGGAAGGAGAAAAGGTCTCCTACACTATGCTGGAGGTCTCATATTAGTCGCAATTCTCGTATTCATTTCCTAATACTAAGAATCTATTGCTAACCTACCCAACTATCTGGTTACATCGTTTTGGTCATTACTTGCATTCCTGACATTCAGCCTTGGTAAATCGGATGGTTAAATTTAACAGTGGTCTTTTTTCCGAGTGCTGATGTGAGATTGGGCCGGTCCAGATCAGGAATCAAGCCGCTTCGTAGTAGATAATTACCCAGATGCCTGACTGAAGAACCAAGTTGATTTCCAAATTGACCTTCTTGTAGTTGCTAGATACATATAGCCTCAATCTCTCTCTGAACAATAGCAATCAAAGTTTCTCCAAACCACAACAGGTGTCAAAATACAAAGGCAAAAAAACACAAAAATTTAAAATATTGGCCACAAATTGCATGCCTCAAGGTATTTTGAGATTTGAACCATCAATCTCCCAACCAAATGAGTTGAGCGCTGCAAATGGGATCAAGGTGCTCTTTTGCAAGGGCTGGGGTTCGGCATGTCGTCATAAGCTTGGACTTGGAAAGCGTCGTTAGCAAGATCCAAGAAGTGCAGAGAGGCACCCGTGCCATGATGAACACGGCCAAACAGTGTTCCAACCGTAACTGATACGTCAACATAAGCAAATGTACTTTACCTTATCGGGAAGGAGGAAGTCTTGGCGTACCTGCGGGGGCTGCTAATTGTCCCAAGCAATGGCGCCATCCGGTCTGAAGCTCAATTACATTACTTAACACCCGACCCAGCGACGATTGGCCAAGTTGCGGTGCTGACAAATGCGCGGGATTAAACACAGAAAATTGGCTGTAGCCTAACCTACGAGCGAACAAACGATACGCCAACAAAAAATGCAACTCCCCGAACCTCATAAAATCCAATTCATCAACATCGCTCATCCTGAGCAAAATGCCTCTGCCAATAAACGAGAGCGTAAGGCGGCCTACTCCCATGCATCGCGGGCAGCACATGCAAGGGTCAGACGCCTGCGGACCAAGCAATACCAGGCTGCCAAGCACCGATATTCGGCGGCGCCGGAAGAAGGAGAACAAAACAATAATCAATATTGCTTGCTGCCTGACGCGAAGGTGTCCGAGAGTGCGAAGTTGACCGCCCAACCGCGAAGCCTTTTCGGTCACCCGCCGGCGGGTCGAAGAGACCCATTCGCCAGCTTAGCTGTGATCCCTTTCCAGTCCGTCGACTACTTGTTGCTTGACCACTGTGAGTACTTAGTGACATGCCACATGGTTGATCTTCCATCATTGGCCGGGATTATGCTTTATTAACCGACCTTAGATGTAACGACCGTCGTACCGTATTTGAAAACTCACTGCAAGAAGCTCCAGGCCCGCAGTAGCCTTGTCGACGCAATGATAATGGATTGGGTTCAACTTGCACTCACTGAAAAGGGATTTTTGAGCAGCATTCTTCTCACATCAAGCCGCCACCTTTCGTATTGTTATCGCCACAACTCGTTTAAGCAACATATCTTTTCGCAGCTGGCAATTCGACACAAGTTAACTTGTGTCCAAACTATAAGTGGTCGTATCGCCAATGTTGGAGATAAATCGCCTTTTAGTGATTCGATCGTGGCGCAGGTGATGGTTCTGGCTTTAGATGAAGTAAGCCTGGTATTTACCGATTTCCCATACATTGCTGACAGTGATTCTTGAAGATCTCACAGGGAAACATGGTCATGGCCAGGAGCCATATGTGTGGGGTGTCCCGAATGATATATCTGAATGGAGGAATCCAGACCCTCGGGTTAAGGGGGTTTCTTGGGCTCCTCTTTGAGAAATTTCTCATCGAGGTAGGAATGTATTCAGAGCCATTGACCCCAGATAATTCGCCTCCCTGTGGATCGATTTTTGGGTCTACTTTAGGAACATGAGGAGCCGGATATGAAGCTGTTTTTGGGAACAGGGGAGTCCACGTTAAAGACAAAATACTGCGTTAATGTCCACCACTGCGAAGGAATAATTAGTTGGATTGGAAATTGCATATATACGCTGTGCTTTGCTATTGACCGTTTCGAGATCTTTTCTAGGCTAAATATCTTGTATGTGGTGGATCGACCGGAAGAGTCAAATAGTGACGCCGCGCAGAAAAGCTCAAATTTGGCCATATCTGTACTCCCGCCCGGCATTTCGTTGGATATATTTTGATCTTTAGACTTCGAATGTTCCCGCTGCATTGCCACCTTCCCTTGTGAGCTCAATCCGGAAAGCCATGTCAGGCTATGGGCACTAAAAGGAGCCTCACCCGTCGAGCGGAGCGACTGATGCTTATATCTGAGGCGCTACTCTTCTGTAGCAACCATCCCTTCCATAGATTGCTTTCATCATGATCACCATCTTAGTCAGTGGATGCCAACTCGAGGTCTCTCGAATTCCGCGGCCACGGCAGTGATCCGAAATCTCAAAGCTACAGGGGCGCATAGCACAGCCAGGCCAGACCCTGGGCATGTACACTAGCTTGGATACCATTTTGTTGGCCGAACAAGTAGGGATTGCGGCCGACAAGGATAAATGAGCCGACGATCCAGGCCAGGCAGGGAAATTTGTACCTTTCACGGTAGACAAAGCCTACGTCGCGGTTGATGAAGCCCAACCCGTGAAATCTGTCGGCGCGCAAGCGTTCTGTGTGGCCTTGGTACCAGAGCCTTTCGGCAATGTCTTGCAATTCGACGTTTCATGACGCGTGGTCGACGGCAATTATCCTTTCAAAGGTATCGGAGGCGGTTACCAGGAAGGACGTCTTAGCATCTCAACGCAATAAATGGCTCGGATGACACTCCTTGGGGGGTTAGACTTAGACATTCTGGCGGTATTGAATATGGAATCGATAATCGAATGATTCTTTTCACCAACTCTCCTTAATAGACCACATTCACACTCAAATGAATTATTATCATCTTACTCCGGAGCTGCGGTCACCGTATGTGAGCCAATATGTGGAAGAGACAGTAGTACATATCAGAGTTCAGTCAGCTGTTTGGAACTTTCCTGCAAACAATCAGAAACGCGCAGGAACGTATATTATAATAGCTCAAAATTGTAGACTCCTTTGCGTCATAGATCCTCAACCGAGCGGGTGACAGCCTTGACTTGTAATCTAAGATCCTTCGTGCCCAGATTCTGGAAGGCCTGGCAGATCCCCATTATACTATATTTCTTAATCTTGATGAGAGCCTGACGTATGCAATGTATTCAACCACTTTATCGAGGCGGAGTTTCCTCCACTCTTAACTCTGCAACCATATTGCGCCCACATGAAAGTTGCCTCTCCAGTCAGCGTTGAGGTAAAGAGATACTCCCCGGAGTAACTCTGGACCCACTCCATCCTGACGCGCCATCGTTGGCTACGTAAGCGTGTCGCTTTTTAAAATGGACATACTCTGACTAATAGATATAAACCAATAACTTAGTTAGTTAGTTATTCGATTCATGACTCAGCCATGTACTTTTCATCTCCACTACATGGCGTAACGGGACATCCATTTTTTTCCTCCTCGGAGTATCCATATTCGTTTTTCACACGCTAGAACTGAATTATGCCGCTGAGAGTCTGTGATAGGTGTATCAGGTAACCAGCTGTCTCCTTGCTTGCCATGGAGTGCCGTCACTAAGCTGTTGCATAGGAAGAAAGTCAGATGTATGACGACGAATCTATACCTCCAGGGGGTTTTGCACCGACTAAATTCCAACAGGCAATCTGGCACGGCCAACCTGTTCCCGTTGCGATGAGTTAGGAGAGAAATGCACCTATACTATTGTGAGACGCAGGCCAGGCCCATCTCGCGGTGCTCATTACGTCACTCGCCAATCAAAGTCACGGGCAGCGCCTGGTAAATATTCTATCTGTACCCAATCGTTACCGTGAACTAACTCATCTGAAAAGAACTCTCTGAAGAGAGCGGCATCACTCAGGAGCTTAAATCTATTAACACCTCCATAAATTCCAGTCCCAGGCCCACAGGCGACGTGTTACAAGACACATCTATTCGAAGAGTCTCACTACCTGGAAATACCAATAGGTATTCTCGTGCCAGCCCAGTACCATTTTCCGCTACCCAGGAGGAATACCTGTGAGTATCCACCTGATTGTGCGGTCTTTTTAGCTAAGAACCACCATGCAGCACTAGAACTTTCTTCGAGGTCGTCCAAGATGCAAACCCTATATTCTCAAGAGAGCGCTTCATTAGCCGCTATAAAAGTTCGCTATGCAATAAAGATCTTATCTCGACGATGATTCTTATTACTGCAAAATTGACTCAGTTCGCTGGACGTGACAATGATGACGATGGTCCGTGTCTAGATGCTGCGCTAGAATCACTGCTGACGTCAAGTCTGCTGGAGGATGACCTGACTGGAGACAAAACATCGCTTGACCAGGTCCGAAAAGCGTATTTACTGGCCTTTTACGAGTTACACCAATCTCCAGGGCATTCATCCTGGCTACGTATCTCCAAGGTGACGCGTATGGCATATCGCCTTGGCTTAGATCGACTTGATCAAGTCCGTGTTCTATACCCCGACTGGAACGCGGTGAGCGATGAAGACACTGAGGAATGGCGAGCGTTGTGGTGGCGAATCTACCGACTCGACACTTACTCCAATCTTGCCTCTGGTACACCATATCTAATTGATGAGATGATAATCAATACAACCATATCCCTCACTCGGACGGAAGATGGTGTAATTCAGGGGATTCTTTTGCCACCCCACAGTGATGGTTTGCTGGAAATTATTCCTGCCATTATATCAAACAAAGAGACCCTGCTAGACAACATTCACACTGTCACGACTGCCATTATGCGTCAAGTTGGTCGCGTCATCCGTATGCATATGTTGCAATGGCACGACAGAGTAATGTTGGAGGCCGGGAACACTGAGCAACGGCTAGCTACACTTTGTCTAGCCCTTCCCCTGGGCTGGCTCAATCCTCAACGGAATGCGTTCGCGAATGAAGGCGCCGGTGACCACCATGCTAGGCTAATTACTGTCTTTCATCTTAGAATGGCGCAGTTGCTCCTTTCAATCGTTGAATGTGGTCATCGGCGAGAAGACGATTGGCTGCCAAGCTGGCAACGCGTTCTTAGCACCTCTCGAGATATCGCTACGTTGGCATATCAGTGGGACAGTGCATTCTGTCTCTCAGTGGACCCTGCAATCACTTTCATCCTTTTTACAGCGCTTGTTTTTCTTGATCTTCATAGAAAGTCCAGCACATCAGATGAGAATCTCCGCTATAATCTTTCCAAAGATGTCACGGTGCTACAACTACAGTTGAAACATTTTGGGAGCTTCTGGATGCAGGCGAGGCTGCTTACTTGTATGTGGCGCATTTTCCCAAGCTTCACGAAATGGGATATCTACTAAGTTGAATTGAATAGTGTCATTCGAAAGCTTTAGTCAATCTATGGATCAGCCACTTGATTACAATCATATTAATTCGATCCTATCGCGATTTGAGGCGCCGCTGCATCCGAGGTGGCTGGAATTTCTTTCGTCGGCGCAATGCCAATCTTAAGTACTGCTAATCAAACGCCTCTGTCTTTCATAATGTGTTTTCATATATCACATTCCAAGTAGCTTTATGCCATCGGCAGATTCTCAATAAATGATGCTACCGTTGAACTCTTTTCTTCTCAGCTACAGCAAAAATGTCTCGACTTCAATCAATCTCGGGAAGGCAGCAAGAAACTTTGAGATCGATAAAGGCATTCGGGCCATCAAAAATATCATTCTAGCATTTGGCAGCCAATATATTTCAAGACAAACCTCATGTTTTCCCGAGCTACAAATGCTTCTCTCCAATGATTTCCTTTTCATCTCCGCTCACCAAAACAGACAAGGCTATTATTTGCTTCGTCTGCATCGCAGCTGATTTTGAGGAGAGTAGCAGACATGGAAAACACTATATTTGCAGATCTGCAACAATCAGTTCTCAATTGATCAATGATACTTATTTGCAAGTTAACCGTACTACTGATGTCGCAGTTTCGGAGGATTAAATTAACTCACCCATTCAGTCAATGTTTTAAAATGCGAGGTTAGCAGAAACACTTTCTATAGCTACTACAGACCTTGAGAGTATGGCATGCTCATTGGTAATCATGACTATTCCGGCCATTCGTAAATACAACAGCCAAGAGCTATAGCGGTGTACCAACATGCAATAGAAGATTGGAATGTCAGCCGAGCCTGGTATCATACAAATATGGCTAATTTTCAGTGGCGAAGACATACCTCAAGCCTGTAAATGACGTTTAGGGTTTGACTCAATTCGCTGCTTCTGACATATTTGGAATACAATTGGGTCACAAAATCGTACCGCGAGCGATCTCCACTCACTTTATATGGTGCTCTGAGCTTCCTAGGAGAAAACGATCAACCTGCACCCCAGTCTAGTACAAGAATTCCAGGTGCCTTGAATCTAGATGCAGTATTTGGTCTACGATACAAAATTCTTTCGTATGTGTCAAAGATTGTCACACATAAAATAAAAAGGCATAGTTAGTGTAACGAACCGATACCGAGTTAATACTAATGTCGAGGTTGCGAGGTTACGGGATCACATAACAGATCACATAATCCTATATCCGTCTGATTCTCCTATATAATAACGCGTAGGAGCCTAACTCCCCTCTTTCCTTTTTCCTTATCTTTAATACTTTAGTTAAATCGTACGAAAGTTCTTCTGTTTTCTAGTTCTTATATTATAACAAAGATTATTTTATATTACTTAAAGCTGTATAGATCTATATCTATTTAGAAGTATATCTTAGCTAATTAGATTATATTTTACCTATTTTATATTTCTTAAATAAATAAATTACTATAGTTTATAAAACCCCTACTATCTATAAGATACTGATATATAGAACTAAATCTAAAGAGCCTACTAATAGTAATAGTAGTTATAGATAATCTAATAATATAGAGGAGCTTAACTTTCTAAGCCTAAAGAAGAATTAGAGATTATTTATCTTTATTTATCTAGATATCCCTAAACTAGACCTAAAGAATAATTTTATTAAGTTTAGTTAATCTAAGGATCTATAGGAGTACCTATAGAAGGATCTATATTAATATAGATATTTATTTAATATTTAGAAAGATATAGTAGATAAGCTAAATATAGTTTATAAGAAGATTAATATCTATAAGTAGAATTATATAGATATTACTTAACTCTAGGATCTTTTAAAATAGTATTTTTAATAGTATTAAGAAGCTAAATAAGAGAGAGATAAACTTCGATAGGCCCTTAATAATATATATAATATTCCCTAACTAGAGATACTAATATCTAAGAGAACTAAAGTAAAGACCTATAAGTTTACTAACTCCCTATTGTTTACTAATAAAAATAGAACTAATATAAAGTTCTATAATTAGTATACTACTATAGAATTAAAACTATATATAAATATAGATTATTTCTTAACCCCTAATCTATATAAGACCTATATAATTAGATTATACCTCTTCTAAATAATAATAATAATAATATCTTAGACTACCTAAAGTAGATCTATAGAGACCTAGTCTATTAGGACTATACTAAATTTAACTTCAAAAAACTTTATATAAAAAAACAGAGAAATTCATAGTCTTCCTTACTAAATTTACCTAATTAGCTAATAATATTATTATTCTCTATAAGAAACATATAAAACTTCTCTATTAGAAGTTAACCCCTAAGCTATAATATAAGCTTATTAGAAAGGCCTTAAAGATTAGTATTACCTTCTTAGACTATATAGAGAAGGCTTATTATATTATATCTATCCTAAAGATTATAGATATTAATACCTAGTAGATAAAGGCTATAAAGACTATTATAGCTATAGCTACTACTACTAATATTACTCCAAATAGCGATGACACGGTGAATTGGAGGCCAGAAACGGCGGCCTTTGACGCCGTTTTAAGCCGCCCGCTCACCGTGGGCGGTCTTGGCGTCACGTGTGCCAAAGACCACGGCCTCACCATCTAATGCCACCCGAGCGTCCTGTCGGCTGTTCCTGGTGCCTGACCCATCGTTCCAGCCCATGTCCATTCGTGCTGCAGCCGCCGCCGCAGGGTCCCATGTTCGCTCATACTCCCAGTCAAGGTGGGAGGGGAGCCATTTTTGGCTCCCCTGTTGACCGTTCTGATTCTCTGAGTTTCCATAAATACCCCCAAGCATGGTCCCCGACCGGCAGTCCTCGCTCGCTTTCCAGCAGCTTTTCCAGCTCCAAGCCCGAGTTTCCAACAGATGACTCGTCCAAACTGAAATAATATCAGCCTCGACCACCCCCCCCTCTCGTGCTTCAGCAGGTCTCTGTAGTCCTCTTGCCGCCTCTGTCACGCACTGTAATCCGCTGCCATGCCTGCCTCGCCGTCCCCAGTTCCAGCTGACGACGACAGCGACGCCAGCTCAGTTCTGCCAGATGTCTTCTCGAACAACGCCTCCGACTCTGATTCCTCCACTGCAGCCAGCGACCTCGACACCAGCAGCGAATCCGAAGCTGAGCTTGAGTCTGAGGATGAGCTGGCGCTAGATGATGAAGAGGAGCAACTTTCACCAGAACACTACCTTCGAGAAGCCGAGTCTCTAGATGTCTCCAAGCTCCGACAGAAACGTTACAGTCCGAAAACTCAAGAGCGGTTGGATGAGACGCAGGATTTCTGGGACAGGTAGGATACCACTAGAGCAAGCCGTTTACATGGCCTGGTTCGCTGATGTTTTTTCGCAGGTTTTGCCGAGGCACAAACCGTGATCCGGTAGAATGTCTTTCCTGGCTCTCTGATACAGAGCAGACGGTCCGCTTCCTTAAAGCCCTCTTCTCCTGGCGCTGTGACCAGCGACGGGGAAAGGATGGACGTCGCACCGCAGGAGTGAACAAAAAAAGCACACTTGACGCATTCTGGAAGTGGTGGCATCTGATATACACGGCCGAGGTTGGACACGGTCTCAGCAAGGATATCCAGGTCAAGGTCCGCGATGTAAGATCATGGTTGAGTTTCAGAACCGGCATCGATTGTACCCCGCTGACGTTCCATAGGTGCTCGCGATAGTGGCCACGGACAAAAAGCTTTCCCTCAAGAAGCGCCCCAAAGCGACCATGTATGTCGAGGACGTGGCTGAATTCGCCCGAGTAATCCTGTCCACCACAGAAATGACTTTCCCTTGTGGCTGGTACCGGATCCAACTCCTCCTATTCTGCCAGCTAGCGGCTATTACCGGTAGTCGGCCCGGAGCGTTGCTACAACTTCGCTTCCAGGATCTAAAGTTGACGTTAATCCGGGATCCGGATGGAGGACGCCCCAGACTTTTTATCTACCTGAGGCCAGAATTCACAAAGTCATTTCTCGGCGAGAAAGAATCGTGAGAATATCCCCTTGAAAAGTCATTCCTTCCTCCTTCCTATCCTTCTTCAGTCACGTCATTGTCTCCGCCATTTTGCTGATCATTTCAATTAGGAACACATTCCCGATCCCGGAAATTATCTTCGACCCTACCTTGGTCCTCAGTCCTCATGTTTTCCTGCTGGGCATGCTATTTAGGATTGGCGCGTTTAAAAGTCTGTCCAAAGACGGCCCGGTGATGAACTGTCCAGAGAAATTATACAGTCTTCGGGTCCTCAGTGGACTTGGACAGCAGGAATTGAAGCTCAAGGATGAAATCCTCGATCGACATGTTTTCTGTCACGCACTACGAGAACCGGACGGAATTCGGATAGCGCTGGAAAAGAGTCTTAATAAAGGATGGCTAAGCTACCGAATGAAACGAGGTGGTGAGATCACAGGCTTTGAAGAAGTCGCGAAGCCGTATTGCCTTCGATACGGCGCAGCGAAAGCATTTAATGATAGTCGTGAGTCACAAATTCCGCATTATATAACTAGGTGGCTAATGGAATCCCCCAATCAGCGGATGTATCGAATGAGTTACAGAACGTTATGCTGCAGCATGCAAGTATTGACACCTTTGTTCGGCACTACAGCGTGGGTATTCATGTGGACACTCAGGCAATTGTAAGGGGCCTGCCCGCCCAGAAGCAACTCATGCGGTTTGCCTGTTCAATGAGTCGGTCCATTGATCCTCGGAGACCATACCGGCTAGAGGACTCGAGCTGTATCAATGACATTCCTCATGTGCATTCCTTGGAAGAGAGGAAGCAGGCGCGCTCACGGATCCGAGATGTCAAGAAGCGTACGTACGAAAATGCGCAGGCCGCATTTCAGCGGGAATTTGGGGATGATCCCCCGCAGAAGAGTCCTGCAACTCAGGGTTTCCGAAGAATTCACAAGCGGTGGAGAACTCAAAAGAAAAACGTGGAGAAATTGTGCCAGAAATACGATCGCGCAGAGGACCTGTTTCAGCACTCAGTGAGGCAGTTGAGAAATGAGAAGAGAAGGCAAAAGCACCGCTTGATTCGCGAGAACTTAGAGCGGTACAAAGAGGAGCAGCCAGTGATAGACAGCGAGCGGCAACTTGCCGGAAAGGTTGTTGATGAAGAAGTTATGGGTGCGTTGCAGCGTACAGGCTATATGACACCACAGCATATGACGCTTATCGACAGTGTCTTGACTATGCCAGGGAAGACAGTCGAAAAAGAAACCGAACGCCGAATTGCTGCAATCAATGCGGTGATTGCTGTCTGTGATGCGGAAGAAGGTGCTCCCTCGCGTCCTCCACCGCAGAAACGCCCGCTCGATGCAGTTGATGTACCCGCTGCTGCCCCCGTGCCTAAGAGGCAGAATTTTACCCTTCCAGAAGAGAGAGACGATACTTTTTCTCAAGCCATCGCTTCTGTCTGCGTCAAAAACGAAAAGGAAAGACCAACGATCTGCTTTATTTGCCTTGGTAATGCTGGGCTGCCCGAAAATGAGCGTCTGAGAATGTACAAGAACCCTGGTTCTCTCAGTCGGCACTTTGTCAACCGGCATATCAAGCCGTTCCCGAATGATATGCACTGCCAGTGCCATGTTTGCGGCGAAAAGCTGATGTCAAAATCGGGACTGCTGAACCATGCGGAAAGAGTGCATGGAACTGTCTCCTGTTTACCTTTACCATCTCTTGGCCTACAACTATCATAAATATTAGATGTGCCTTTTGTTCTTTCTCTTTAGCTGTGTCTTACAAAGCGAGGTAAAGCGTAAACAACATGCCAATCTCTGATCGCACAATTGTTGATTTTGAGAAAAGAATGATCACTCGTAGCCGAGACATCTAAAAACGATTCATAGTCATAATATCAGAGCAACAATATGATCGACAAATTATAGCAGTACTAGCTGCGCCGAATCTTCTTACAACGGCGAGCATTCGAATCTCCATCTAATCCATCCAAGTGTCCCACGCCAACCACGGAGGCCAGAACTTCACTCAGTAGGCTACTGCGAGGCTCTTCAGGAAAGTAATCTTTTCTCAGTGGTTCATCCGGCACTTCTTCACACTTCTCACAATCCTGACGACTACCCTCATGATCCCCGAGTTGATGGTTGATCTCCACTGTGCTGTCTTTCCGGTCCCACTTGGCATGTGCTCTTCGGAATCGATCGTATATGTCCACTTCGAAGGTACGGCCCTTAAAGCGGAACCAATCTTCAATGGCATTGTGAAACTGTGATATCTGCCAGCAGGCTGAGGTCAGCTGGGTGACCCCGCCTTCCATATGCAAAACCTCCCGCTCTACCAGGGAACTCAGGTCGGGAAATATTTGCTCCATGCATGACACATGATAGTACTTGTTCGGTTCTACTATTGGTGAGATTCAAGGTAGATTTTTTCGGGACTGTGAGGACTTACCATAGTATCGACCGGAAAGGTCTTTAACATTGAAACGAAAAGCAGACCTGATATTGGGTTCTCCATTCAACTTCCTGGGAACACAGTCCCAGAAACGACAGTGACTCCTTCTGCTGGGACTTTCTTGCAATAGAATTACTCGTTTCTGATCGGTGAGCTCATCTTCAATGCACTTTCTTTCAAACGCGACTCGCTTGACAGGGTCTTCTGTGATCCTCTCCCACTCACTATCCGTGTCATCCAAGGGATCATCGGAATGAGTTTCCTCAGAAGAGAGGGTAACCTGCCTTGGTCTTTTATGAGAAGTCATGCTTTTTGGACAGACTTGACGAGGATGGATGGGTTGTGACAGGGAGGGAGAGTGGAGGGACAGGAGCAGGAGATAGGAGTCAACGGGGAGGGGGGGGGGGTTTCAAAAGATGATATGTTCTATTCGGGATTGTTGCGGAGAGCCCCCCCCCCCCCCAATTGCGTCGGGTCCATGATATTCCGTGCTTGTAATCGCACACAGATATTTTCGTATATCCTCTCCTTCGAAGCGGAATATCGCCGCTTCGAAGGAGAGTTGGGCTCTCTTCGCAGCGATTTCTTCTTTCAAGAGTTCCTCTTACAATGTTGAATAGTGCGACATAGTTCCGAGGCCCCAGTCCTAGTCCTAGGGGACAGACCACCTTGGGCTCCTCGTTCTACCCACCGGAGTATATTTGGAATTCCCTCTCTGATACCCAACGCGATTCATTCATGTCCACCGTGTCTGCTTCCCTTGTTGCGGGTGACGGGCAGCGTAAGCGCCCACCTATAGATCTCACCACAGACGAGGACTTCGACGACGGTAGGGTCCCATCTCTTGTTTTGCCAGTCCTCCCCCGCTTGCCCGGTCTCGACCGTGCTGCCATTATAGCCGTTTTCGAACACACCTTCCGCCCAAAGAAGGACCTCATAAAACTTCGCAGCCCCGAGTTCAAAGCCACGGCACCAGATGGCGATCCCTCCGACTTAAAGTCCACTTCGTCTGGCCTGCAATTCCGCAAGGTGGTTCTAATCAAGGACTGGGGAAAAAGCCGCATCCCTGTGGGCCCACTGCTTCAGTAATTACATTGCTATTTGGTGTGATTTCTTTGCTGCCAAGCACTTACTATGCATCAGTGGAATAGTTCTTTTTCACCGCCGTATTTGTGACCTTGCTAGGGCATATAAGTGGCAGGAGTGTATCCTGCAAATGTCCTTAGACCACAACCAGATGGTCGTCGATAAAGGCGACCTCACCGTTTCTCTTGGCGACTGGGAAATCGGGAAAGCTCTCGAAAGCTCCTACTTACGCCCCGACAACGTACTCCCAGCAAAGACGGCACCAACTACCCCAACCACACGATCAACGCGCTCAACCGCCGCCCCAAATAACGATTGTGTCATTTGTGAAAAGTTCAACTCTTCTGCTGGTTGCCACTGGCGAACTTGTCACCGTAGGCACGTTTGCTCTAAATGCAGTAACGACCATTTATGATAAGCTGCAAAGTGAAACCAGCGAGTTAGGACCACGCCACAGCCTGCCTTGATATAATCCAAACGCTATCGCCGCCAACCAGCTGGCCAGCCCCGCGTCCCAACACTTCTATTCAATTTAAGATATTTGACTCTTCCCTTCCGCCTCTGCGTAACTCTGCTTCTCCTTTTATCAGTTCAGCGTGGGAAACTCTCCTTGAACGCTATCCTGGCGATCTAGGGTTTATTTGCAGCGGCATTCTCACATTCGGCTGCCGCCTTGTTGTACGGGCCAGCTGACAGACCGCCGAACATCTAATCACCATATTGAGGAACCCTCTATTATTGCCCAAAGGCTCTCCGATGACCTGTCTAATCATCGAGTGCAAGTTTGCACTGGCCCCGTCGTCGCCGTTATCGCCAAGCTTAAACGCTCTGGGGAGGATACCACATGACTTAAGGGTCATGGTTTTAGAAAAGGGGCAGCGTCCATAAATTTTGAACGACTGTCTAATGACAATCAATACTGCCATTTACAAGGCTGATGGAACCGGCATACGGGCTTTGTCTAAGTACGAAAGAAGCAAACTTGGAAAAAGTAAAATAAAGTTATCGCTCAAAATTTATTAAGAAGCTGTTGCTTATTTCGCGGAAAAACAATCGTTTGCACACCAACGGAGAGCATGGTGAATTATACCTTTGTTGCAGCGTAGTAGCTCGGAAAGGTTTCCATTTCTGTGCACCCGTTGTAGGCTTGCAACACCAGGTACCATGACCAGCTGGCCACATTGCTGTAATATCAGGGCAATCTGGCAGCAGCCCGCTTCAGCTCTTTAACCGGAATATTCCCAGGGAGGCTTTCGACAGGCGAGAAGGTCATTGTTTATCAATTTCTCGATATTTTGTGGCTTTGCATGTTCTTTGCTATTTCCCTACAGGAGAAAAAAGACGGCAAAAAAATAGCAGAAAAAAAGACGGCAGAAAAAAAGACGGCAGAAAAAAGGACGGCAGAAAAAAGGACGGCAGAAAAAAGGACGGCAGAAAAAAGGACGGCAGAAAAAAGGACGGCAGAAAAAAGGACGGCAGAAAAAAGGACGGCAGAAAAAAAGACCGTCTGACGAGCGGTGGACGCGCGACAGAAAATGCACGCCAGGCGCAGAGAATCAATTACCCCAACATCAATATATCTAGGTTAAGTTGAAGGCCCTCTTTCTTCATTTATGTAAAAGAATTTCTCAAATCCGTTTTCTCAACCTTAGGATTAATTTTCAGACATTGTCTTTATCCTAGGACCCTGTGCAGTATTTGTCGCTGGGTCACGTTCCCTTTTTACGCTGGAGGAAAGCTATCACTGTATGGGGGAAACAACATATAGATTGGCGTTGCGCATTTCTTCCTTGTCTAGCTCTACGGGGGTTTATGTCAACGTTGCAAAGATACAAGAAGGAACCAATGCGAACATTGTATGATGTGAAGCCCTCTTTGCATTCTCTGCGATCTTCTCACAGCTATCATGCACATGCTACCTAAACTCCAACAATATAATAGCGCTATCGAGGTCTGCCAATATCAACGGAGCAGCGTACTGTGAAAGACTATCTTCTAGGTAAGAATTCAGTTGCCATTGGAATCCAAAGCTTCTCTTCTGGCCTCTTTATCGATCGCTTGGTATTAATAGTGGGAATGGTAATTGATGATGATCAGGTGTGCACTGCGGTTCAACCTTGAATTGCGAGTCATACACCGCTCATCTCAATAGGCGGGGATGAAGCCGCTACTTGAGCGGCACATAACAGTACAGCATCGAGTCGATACCAAATCTTGCTGGAGCTAGCTACATCTGGCATCAGCATTTTACTAGGATGCCATGCGTGACTTTTTTATTTGACCCGATGACAAATGAATATCCCATGGAAGCTTGGAAGTTTTTAAAGTTTATTGCAAGCCAATGTTTTAGAAGATGGGTGTTTGTTCAACTGGTGAAGTGGAACAGATCCAAGATTGCGTTCTGTTTAGTCCCCGCGACGCATTTCTTCGAAGAGCGGCCTTCAAAGTTAGGTCAATAGCTGTGCCATTTGACCAAGCTGAACTTTGAGGGAACCCATGAGTTTTATTGGTAAATGAAGAAATTTCATACCGCTTTCTTAAATGACGTGTAGTCTGCTGCTTTAAATTTGAGCTTTCGAGTTCCAGCATCGCATCAAAATATCACCCACCTTTGCACGATCTGAAATGACCGCAAGCGAGAGCACACTTGCTACACAATCGAAATCCAGAAAACTAGTGCGTCAAAAAAGATGCCGCCGCAGAGCAGGACTCATAAAGAAAGCTCTCGAATACAGCGCCCTCTGCCATGCTGATGTGTGCGTCGGGATTCGCATTCGTGAAACTGGCGAAGTACACATTGTTTCAGCAGACGAGCCGGGGTTCTGGAATTTTGTTTCCCATCAAATGGTATGTCATCTTCAGATGATACTTGAGTAAAATATGCTAATTATTAGGCCTCCCACTTCCCTTGTCCTATTCTAACGTCCCATCGTAATTCGCGCTTGAATGACTCGCCTTCGACCGGCAAGAAAGAAACGGCCACAGTGGGCAAGGATGCGCCGGTCAGCAGCTTTAATGACAAGGAAAAGCAGTGCAAGGACTGCAAGGTTGAGAGAAGCCGATGAGATTGGAGATCCCTCCAGCGATTCTGACTCTTGCCACGGTTTGGGAACAGGGTGTCGGAAACTATTGAATGATAGCTCAATTCATATTTAGGATGAACCGTGGAGAATCATGCAAGGCTGCAATGCAATTTAACGAAAATTGAAGATCAAATCTCACGTATCTGCTAGGATCAAATGATGGTCATGTATTATTTATTTCCACTTCTGGAAAATTTCACAGAATTATTGAGGATAATAGCGTTTCCGGACGTGATATTCATTCTTCGCCCTTGACATCTGCTAATGATTTTAACAGCAAGTGTCGCCTGCGTCGTACCATTAATCAATATTCTTCCCTTGTCATTTATGCATGTTATACCATGAGGGCCTTTAAATTGACGCACAAATCAAGTTCGAAAATGGCTCTCAAATGAGGATATTGAGAACGTATAGGAAGCTTGATAGATACCAGAGTACTCTCCTTGGGGGTTTACGGGCCATCGTCAGCTTTTCGCTTGTTTGAACTGTCACATTCAGGGAAAGAACTATGCGGCCTAATCAAGATCGCATATCCCTTTCACTGGCTAGGAGTCCTTTAGCAATAAACCGTAGGTCGAGGAAAGCGAGAGCATGTTGCAGTGACCTCTTTATGTGGCGCTTCAGCGTGGAGTCAAGACATGCCATTCTTCAGGCGGGTGCTGTGGGATACCGTATGGGATACCGCTACTCCCGTAACCCTTCGAAACGGGGATTTTGTAGGCCCGCGGATCTTCTCACGTGATTACATACCATTCTCTGAGTCTGAGTCTTACTCGCATCTCGCAACAAATCTGAACCACGCATGATTGGGGGAAGAACTTGTTCTGGTAGCCAAACCATACCAATGATTCGCAGGTACTTGAATATAGGTTTCAATAGAGAATTCCCCGATCAATCGGTCCTACCAAATTTGGTAATCTCCACGGGGGCTGGACAATCAACTCTGTTGTGCGATACGTTTGTCACTTCTAATTTCAAACAAATGTAAAAGGCAGCACTGATAGTTTCGAGAACGTATAAAGACTCATATGCTTATCTTTTGCCAACTTTGCTGCTTGTGACAGCCACTATATGAGGGCGGCCAGCCATAATATAATCACATCCGTGATTCGTCCCAGATCGCTACTCTTGAGGATGAGCGGATATCATAAGACCTGAAGGCATACAATCCAGCATCGTATGCTGCAGGTGAATTGCCTTCTTCCTTCGATCCTCCAGAATCAGCTCCATCTCCCGCAGCTGTTGTGTGAGAAGATCCCTCTCATAGATGAGCCAGTCATACGAGGCTTGAAGCTTGCTGTTTTCATTCACCAGACGCAGACCCTGGGCGGACTTCACAATATAACACTCCCACATAGCTAAGTAGAAACCGAGAAGATTGAGGCCTTGTGCCGCAAGGGGCCCATCGAGTTCCAGTAGTTGTCTTATCTGCACCGTCAGAGCGCCAACGGGCTGGGATTGCTGCAGTCATCAGTACGTGTGAAAGAATAGCTGATTTCCCATGACAGGACACTCACCTGGGGCATTTTACTGGGGCTCCCGTCAAGCACCTTCGCTTTCGGGAATGAGGCTTCTCCATCCTCATACAATTCGCGCGGCTTTTTGTTTGGACAATCGATCAATGGTTCTGGGCTTTGACAGTGCTTCCGATCCATAGGCGAGGACATCTTGTAGAACATCGTGGGGGTTCAAATATGCGGGAAATCGAATCTGATTCATGGATGCATGGTAGCAGCGCAATTTGAGCGCTTATATATATGTTTTTTTTTTTTTGCAGTCGGGCTTTGCAAAAACTGAATGTTTGCCAAGACAGTGATCAAGAAAGTCAATTTTATATTGCAAGGTGCGGTCTTCCAACGTTGAGTAAACGTCTCGGTGGACTTCAACACCTAATCACCGATTAAACCGATCCAGGGTGGAACAGTTGCCAAGCATAACTTGGAAATGCTCAATTTGACTGCTTTTAAAATCGTGAATTTTGGCATCCTCGACCTGGCCGCTATCAACATATACAGGGTGACGCAACGCTCATCTAAATCTTAAAAACACAACATCGCACGCTTCTTTTTTGATGGGTAGAATGCCATCCATTAAAATACACCAATACCGCAATATTGCCGGACCCTAGGTACGATTATCTCATGATAAGAATACAATAGCGCCTGCCAGCCAATTTAACTTGTAGGTAAGCCTGATTCTAGTATCTCTAGATTAAAAGAATGGAGAACAAAACCTTTGATA